ATCCACATATATATGGTCAACTGATTTTCCACAAAGGTGTCAAGCAATTCATTTGGGAAAGAGTAATCTTTTCAAAATGATGCTGGAACAACTGAATAACTACATGCAAAAAAGTGAGCCAACTCTCAATACCTCGTATGTAAAAATTAATTTAAAACGAATCACAGAACTAAATATCGGGGGTGCCAAAAAAATGTATACACAGTTTAAGAGATGTTATCTATGTAATACTTTTTGAAGTTGAATTGAATTATGGTAGCAATGTGTAGTATGACGTTCGCTCAAAAGATGGCGTTAATCAAATGAATGCTAGCATCACCATGCAACAGACAGGACAAAGAAAATGGCAGAAGCATAGTTGCCGATTGAGGAGCACATGACCATTTTGAAGTGGTATTTGAAATTCGAGAATGTTGTGGAAGTACAATGGCAATGGAGGTGTGAGTATGCAACAGAACCTCCAACACACCTAACAATTGCGCATATTTGTCATAAGTTTGAGATGCATGGTACTATGTGAAGAAACTGAAATGCCATGCACAGCAATACAAGTGGACACTTGGGTCAATGTTGCTCAAACAGAAGTTTGCTGTTATCAGAAGTGTCTTGACGCTGATGGTAACCACTTTGAGTACCTCTTGTAATTGCAGAAGACAAACGTGACTTGTATTCATCTTTTGTTATCAGTATATATTGAGTATTACAATTTTAATACAGTTTTCCTTTCTTAAAATGTATATACATTTTTTGGGCACTCTCTGTATAAGGGCTAAAACTATAAAACTACTAGATGACAATATAAGAGAAAATCTCAGGGATTTGGGCTAGGCAAAATTTTCTTGAATGGGACACAAAAACCACAATCTTAAAATTCAAAAAATAATTGACAAACTAAACTTCATAAAAATGTAAAATGCTGGGTCTTCAAAAGACATTGCTAAGAAAACAAAAGGCAAGCCACAGACTGTGAGAAAATATATGCAAAATATATATATGATAAAGCACTTTTATCCAGAATACATTTAACTAGTATAACTCATCAAAAAGAAGACAACTCAATTTTTAAAACTTGACAAAAGGGTTGAACTGATATGTCAACGATGAATATATACAAATAGTAAATAGGCATATGTAAAAACATCCAAGACCATAGGTGTTTAGGAAAACGCAAATTAAAAATACAGAAAGATATCATTACACACATACTAGAATAGCTCATATTAAAAAGACTGATAATACCAAGTGTTGAAAAGGATGTGGAGTAACTGGAACTCTCAAAACATTGCTGATAGGAAAGCAAACCTGTACCACCATTTTTGAAAACAGTTTGGTAGTGTCTTATAAACATACATTTACCATATGATCCAGCAATTCAACTCTGAGGTATTTATCCAAGAGGAATAAAACATGTAGACACAAAGACATGTTCCTAAATGTTCATAGCAGCTTTTTTTAAAAAAAAAAAATTAGTTTTAACCTGGAAAAAATCCAATGTCTACCATCTGGTAACTGGCTAGACAGATTGTGATATATCTATACAACAGAATGCTACTCAACAATACAAAGGAACAAAATATTGATATATGCAAGAAATAGGTGAATCTTAAAAAGCATTGTCTTGAGTGGAAAAAAAAGAGACATAAAGGTCTACAAAGTGTATGATTCCATTTATATGAAATTCTAGAAAAAGCAAAAGTATAGTGATAGAAAGCAGATCAGTCTTTGACTTAAGAAGAGGGAATTGATTGCAAAGGGGCAGAAGGAAACTTTCCAGGGCAATAGAAATGTTCTCATTCTTGATTGTGGTGATGATTACATGACTATACGCATTTGTCAAAAATCATCAAATTGTACACTTAAAATTGGCAAATGTTATATGTAAATTATACCTCATAAAAACTGATATAAAAAGTCCAGTCAAGATGGCAGAGTAGGTAAACGCTCTGCTTGCAACCTCTCACAGCCACATCAAAATTACAACTAAACGACAGAATAACCATCATTGAGAGTCACCTTAGGTCTAACCGAACCCAGAGCCCTACAACTAAGGACATACAGACGACTCGCTGAGACTGGCAGGAGGGATGGAGGCAGGAAATGGGCCGGTCCCACACCTGTGTGTTTTCACTTAAAAATCAGGATCTCTCAGCTGTGGAGGTACCCCCTGAGGAATGAAGGGTCCCAGCCCCACACCAGGCTCCCCAGACCAGGGTTCCAGTGCCAGGGAGAAAAGTACCTGCAATGTCTGGTTGTGAAAACCAGCAGAAATTGTGGCTGAGTGAGATGCAAGGCTGCTGAGTCCCAGGCATTTCTCCTAAAGGGCCTGTGCATGGTCTTAACTCACTGACACTCATTCGCTCTGAGCTCTAGTGCTGGCGCAGCAACTTGAAAGTTGCCAGGGACATAGTGGGAGGAACTGAATTCTCTGGGTTCAGGGCAAGGAATGGAAGGTCAACTTTCTTCAAGACAGAAGTGGTGGCAGAAGCCATTGTTCCTTAGTTTAGCCCTCCCTCTATCCGGCATGAGGATGCAAGCAGCCACCATATCTGAATCTCCATCAACCTGGTTAACACCATTTGTTTGCCTCACCCTGGTGATTCTCTGAGACCTCAACCTCACCTAACTTGCGGGTCCACCTAAGCTGCTTCCATACAAATGGCCTGTCTTGGCTTATGCTACTGACTTTCCTAAAATCTCTCAAAAGTTCAAAAACCAAAACATGCAGCATCTGGCCTCAGCGTGCCCCATAACTTGCTGAGCAGCCCCAAGTCCAGCATTGGTGACAGCTGGCCTCAGTTTGAGGGTTGGCCTCTCCCAGGCACCTCCAAGCCCAGCACAGGTAGCAGCCATCTGTGCATTGCTTTGTGGCTCATTCCAGGTGGCTTCTGGCAGGGTATACGCTGCGGCTGAATTTGGCCTGTGGTGGAACCTTTTCCAGGAGGACTCAGAGCTGGCATGCCTAGTGGCTGGCTTGGACCGAGCCAGAGCACCAGTCAGCTGCCTCTGAGGATGACACACCCAAAGGGCAGACTGGGCAGGCACCAGAGCCCTGCAAAGCAAACCCTGCTCTGTAGGCAATAACTACATATCTGTCAACATTATAAAGGTAAATGGATTAAATGCTCCAATCAAAAGACACAAGGTGGCTGAATGGATAAGAAAACAAGACCCTTACATTTGCTGCCTACAAGAGACTCACTTGAGATGGAAAGAAACATGCAGATTTAAAGGTATGGAAAAAGATATTTCATGAAAATGGAAAAGAAAAAAAAAGAAAGAAAGAAAAAAAAAGCTGGGATAAAAATACACCAGACAAAATATGCTTTAAAGCCAAGGCTATAACAAGAGACAAAGAAGGACCCAGAAATTCAACTTCTGGGTGTTTATCCGAAGAAACCCAAAAAGCTACTTTGAGGGGACGTGTGTCCATATGTTCATTGCATCATTATTTACAACAGCAAGATATGCAAGCAACCTAAGTGTTGATCAAGAGATGAATAAAGAAGAAATGGTACATATGTATTATACAATGAAATATTACTTAGCCATAAAAAGAATAAAATCTTGCTATCTGCAACAGCATGGATGGACCTAGAGGGTGTTATGCTAAGTGAAATAAGTCAGGCAGAGAAAGACAAATGCCATATGATTTCACTTATATATGAAATCTGAAAAACAAAATCAACGAACTAACAAAACAGAAACAAACTCATAGATACAGAGAACATTTTGATGTTTGCCAGATGGGAAGGGCATTAGGGGGAGAGGTGAAAAGGGGAAGGAATTAAGAAGCACAAATGTAGTTACAAAATAGTCATGGGGTGCAGAGTATAGCATAGGGAATACAGTCAATAATACTGTAATACCTATTTACGGTGTCAGACGGGTACCAGGTTTAACTGGGTGATCACTTCGTAAGTTATAAAATGTCTAATCACTATGTTGTACACCTGACACTAATAAAATATTGTATGTCAACTATAATTGAAAAATTGTTTAAATTATTTATAACAATTTTCTAAAACTGATATAAAATATATTCAAAACATGTACTTATATTATTTTAGAACTTTCTTTTATAAATTGTTTTAAATTTGCAGCTTATAGTACACATACATAAAGGTATACAAATCGTAAGTGTAGAGCTCAGTGAATTATCAGGAAGCAAGGACCTATGTAAATACCACCCAGAGAAAGAAAGAACGTTTGAACAACCACAGAAGGCTCACTCATCTCCTCCTTTCAAAAGTTGACTATTATCTAAGCGGGCCAAGTGATATCAGTTTGACCTCCAGGGGGCCTGGAGGCTAAAGGTCAGCCACATGGGTGGCCAACCATGTCTATGTGATTGAAGCCCCAATAAAAAACTGAATACTAAGGCTCAGGTAAGCTTCCCTGGTTGGCAACACTCCATGTGTATTGTTGTCATACATTGTTGCTGGGAGAAGTCAGCTCTGCCCACAATTTCACTGGGAGAGGACACCTGAAAGCTCCATGCATGGAACTTTCCTGGACTTGGCACTTCCCTTGGCAGACTAATTTGTACCCTTTTGATGTAATAAACTGTGACTGTGAGTATAACAATTTCAGTGAGTTCTGTGAGTCCCCCTAGCAAATTATCAAACCTGAGGGTGCTCTTGGGAACCCCTGAACTTAGTAGTTGGTGTCAGAAGTGAGGGTAGTCTTAGAGACACCTGAACTCTGCAAAAATCATACAGAATTATTTTGTGTATGGCTTCTTTTACTCAGCATTATGTTTCTGAGATTTACTCATCATGTAACATGTAAATATAGTTTATTCATTTTCGCTGCTTGTGTAAGTAACATAGTGAATTGACCATTATTTACTCATTCTACTGTTGATGGATATTTGGGGTTTTTTCAGTTTTGCACTATTATTATTGATAGACCTAGAAGGAAAAAATAGAGAAATCCATAATCATAGTGGGAAATTTTGACACATCTGGAGCAACTGGTAAGAACAATCGGACAAAAAAAAAATCAGTAAGAACTTAGATTTTTATCACACAATTAACAAATTAGATTTGACATCACTCAATACCTAAAACTCCGGTGAGCCTTCTTTGGGAGTAACAATAATAAACATTTCCTAAATGCATACTATATGCTTACAGTATTCTAAGAGCTCTACAGGTATTATTTCAGTTAATTTTTGTACAACTTTTCTAATTATACAGTTAAGAAAACTAAAGCATAGAAAAGTTAAAGAATTTGCCCAGAGTCCACAGCCAATAATGGCAGATCTAAAATTCGACTTTGGGAAATCTGATTCAAGAGCCAAGTTCTGAATTCTTATGTTATTAATATTTTTCAACATCTTCAATTTTCTATCTCTTCTTGAGTTAATTTTGGTATATGCCATCTTCCTAGAAAATCACCTGTTTCATCTAAATTTTAAAATTTATTTAACATGAGTTGAACATCAGTCAAATTGTGATGTAAAGTTAAAGTCTTAGAATTTGTACCAGAAATAAAACTATTTTTAGCCCTATACTCTTTCTTCCCACATCATAAACCTTATTAACTCACCTGGAAGAAACAATTATACTCTTGTACTGAAATTCCATGATAAAAATAATCATTGTCTCATCTAAGGCCTACTATTGATCACTACCGGTTTCTGAAAGCTTGATGCCTAAAGGTAAGTATTACTAACACTTAGTCTAACATTTAGTAACAAGATATGTAATTGTCTAGGCAGCCCTCATTCACAGAAAGCAATTTTCTGTGAATGTTAGTAATCTTAAGCATTACTACTATAAAAGCAACGCATGCTGGGAGTAAAGTATTAAAAAAAACCACTTTCCCTTCTGCATGATAATTTGACCTATGGTTAACTTCCTACCTTTGTTCCTCCTGCAAACTTGACCTAAGTGGTAAGTAAACTAGGTAACTATAAAATTATTCTAGGTAAAAAGTAACCTGATTGCACCTGGACTAAAAGAAACTATTAATGAACTAGAAATACCCAATAATAACACCATAGCTTTGGCTGTAAGGGCATATAATTAGGTCTGACAGACAATTCTTACTTTTTCTATTTAAATAAAAGAGTTAAAAGAGCATATTTGGGTTGTCTTCAGCACTGAAATCAATGCATTAAGAATATCCAAGTAATAAACTACAGCCAGGATTAGTAGTTACTTCAGCACTTTAAAATTAATCTTTTGTTGCCAGGTAAAACCCCACTCTTGTTTTATTTTTTTCCATGACATTTATCACTATCTGGCATGTAGCATATATTTACTTATTTATTTATTTGCTTATTGCCTGCTTTCCCTTGTAGAATGTGAGCCCCATGAGGGCAAGGGCTTCGTTCTTTGTTGTTCACTGCTCCCCTCTCAGTACTTAAAATACTAACTGGTACATAGTAGGTGTTCAATAAATAATTGTAGAATGAAGCTCCTACTGACATATGGGTATTACATGAGTGACTAAAATTGTATCTACTATGTGTCAAGCCCTATACTTGCAAGGTCTGGTGATAGAGTGTTATTCCTCTATGATTTTTATGGCGCTAACAATCACAGATAAAATTTCAGATAATTTTTTACTAAACAGGAATGTTCTTTATTAAAATGTTATATGATTACTTCACTATGATTCTACATAATTTAATGCATTTAGTAACATTTATAACAAAAAATTTACCTTCAAAATGCTGTACTCTTACTCCAGGATCCCAAATACTTCACGAACTACTTCGATCATTTTAAAAACCATCCCTGTTCCTCCCTCTAGGAGAAGCCTAATTTATGGATAAAACGAGGTCAGCAATAGTAACACACTGTTTTCTAACTGATCTCTGCTTCCAAATTTCTCTTAGGTGCATTCCTTCAGTACGTTTATCCAAGTATTCTCTTTAACTAAAAGGACAGTTAATTTAGCCTCCTTTTTAAAAAAAGGTGGCTATTTCTTCCCTGTATACGATATGTTCATAAAGATAATCAGACCTTCTGAAGAATCACACACCAGTTCCCCTGATCATAGTAGCTTTGCAGAATGCTGACATTGCTCAGAGTCTGGCAGGCAGCTTCCAATTCACCCTCACGGAACACATGGTAGTAACGGTGAAACACAGGACTTGGGTCATGGGATCCTACTGGGTCAAATGGCACAGTAGGTTTGTCTTTACCAGGGGTTCCCTTAAGATGCCAGGGAACCAGTAAGTCTTGAGAATGAAAAGAAGTTCTGTTAATGTGAATAGGCAGCTCGGAATTAGTAACTTTCCTTGAATTACATCCTCCCTTCTGAGAGTCACTGATGCAGGGGGCAGAACTTGCTGAATCTTGATTGTCCAAGTCGGGCATTTGCTCCACAAGCAACTCTTGCATTGATGCGTCATTGCGGATCTCTTCTTTTTTTCCTTGACCAATTCTGTTTTCTCTGAGATACTTGGACTTCTTCTCCTTGTATTCTTGTTCCATTGCCCAGACATAAACGAGTGCCTTTCCACCAGGTCTCAGGAGTCGAACAAGCTCTTGGAGAGCTGCCACTCTGCGCTCCTAGCAAAAAACATATTGTCACTTATCAACCAGGAGGAGACACAGGGAAAAAACAGGAAAATACAACTGACTACAGGGCTATATTCAATTAAGATGAACAGCCCAGAAAATCTAACAAAATATCTTATATAAAATAAAAGGGTAAAAAGGGGGAGGGGAATTTTGTTCTGTAACTGACAAGTAAAAAAAAAGTATTGAAGAAGCAGGGAAAAGGAAATTTTTACCTCTATTAATAAAATAGAGGCATGGAGGGTGTCCCATTTTGTTTTGTTTTGAATTCAGTTAAGGCCATAAGGTATATTTGAACTGCCAGTGACTCCAGCGCAGGGTGATCTATAAAGTTATTGCTTAGATCGGGGGAGAAATCACTGACACCCAGGAAAAATAAGATTTTTTTTTATAAGAAAAATATAAAATTCACTTATTTTTAAAATTAGGAACAATATGTAATTAAGTATTCAAGTTTTGGGGAAATAGGAAAAGAGGAAAAACAGAATGGGAAGGAAGTGAGATTCAGATGTCAGGGATGAGAGTGACACCTGAGAAAGAAAGATGGGAAATAGAGAAGAGGCTCAGAGGCCGAGGAGAGAATGTATTCAAGAGGCCTAGAGGTGGTGATCTCTTAAAGTCTGTTACACTTAAAATTTAAAAATGAGTAAGACCCATGGTAGAAAAAGGCAGACATATGCAGCAATAAAAATACAGAGTCCCAACAGGCTTCTGTTTCTCATAACTAAGTACAACTCCCATGTACCTCATCTCCACTGCACATGCTCTCTTAACAAATGGGACAAATTGCATGACAAGAAAAGAGAATGGAAAGAAAAGAAAAGCTAATACAGGGTCCAAAACAGTAAAATCCATGAACATTTCCTGCTACTTTAGTTACAAGTTCTTGGAGAGAGAAAGACAGTACTTACTGCTGTTGCAAAATGGTGAATAACAGCAATGGAAATGCAGGCATCACAGGACCCACTGCGGATGGGTACTGCCAACGCATCACAGACGAAGGCCTGAAACTGCCTCTCTCTGCAAATGTCCACAAGGTTTTGGCTACGATCACAGCCAATCTATAATAGAAAAGAATTTTATAACATCTTGTTTAACGTCATGAGAAATTAAGAGCAGTGGGTTTATTGCTTACTACAGAGATATAAGACAGATTTCATATTCCTTGTGTAATGGTCTAAGACAGTGGTTCTCAACCTGTGGGTCGCGAACCCTTTGGGGGTCAAACGACCCTTTCACAGGGGTCGCCTAAGACCATCGGAAAACAAAAAGATATTTACATTACGATTCATAACAGTAGCAAAATTACAGTTATAGAGTAGCAACAAAAAGAATTTTATGGTTGGGGGTCACCACAACATGAGGAACTGTATTAAGGGGTCATGGCATTAATAAGGTTGAGAACAGACCATATTATCAGTTCTTACAGCCAGTACAAAGTCAGAATACATAATTTACAGGGCAGCATTTATTACCTTAACAGGTATCAAACAGAACTCAAATTAGTGAATGGAAATGAATAACTAAAATAAAAATGACACTGGTAAAAATGGGAGGTCCTAACTGGTATCTAACTGATCCCCATTCAGAATCCAGGTCTCAAAATAAAAGAACCTTCATGTCAAACAAATCTTACTGAGTTAAATCACGCTGCCATGACAGCCATACTTAGTATGAATTTGCTCAATTTCTAGTTGGTATTAAACAGCCTCTATGTTCTATCCCAGAGCTGCATTAATTTCTGAGGTACAATAAAAGGTACCAAGCTAGAGGTAAAGTATAGCAATTTCCCTTTGACATATTTTAAGATGGAAAAGTAGTAAGGGTCCATTCATAACAACAGTGGCACAATTCCCAACTAATTGCTCCCCTTACCTGTATAAGATACATAATTGGCTTATTATTTTTATTTATTTCCATCCATATTCTATGCCACTGAACCAACAGTCATAATATCAAGATAGCAATACCACTCAAGTAACATGCATATTGTATTTTGGTGCTTGCCAGCTTTTGTTACAATAAAATTCAGTTCATGGAATCAGAGGTTTCAAGTATGCCCAATTCTGACAGATGGCTGGCTATACCTTGCTAAAAGTCAACAGGAAGCAATCCAACTTGCCTGTAAAACAAATCCCCAGACACAGAGCTCGATAATTACTCAGAGGAGGCAAGTTAGTATCTAAGAACCACAGATAAAATAGAACAAGAACAGCAGCCAAACAAAATCAGAGAAAATGTCCTTTCTCTTCCTGCCAGGCTCTTACAGTTATATGTACAGAGCACTCCGTTTCACCAACAAGAGAGCAGGGCAATTTCAGTCATAAAGCACCAGGTCCAATGTAGACGCCCCACTGATCAGAGACCTGGCTCAGCCCAGCTCAGCACTTTCATTTTCTACTTATTTTGCCTGAGTCTTCCATATACTATAGTCAAATCGTCACTATTTTATTCTCTCACCTTTCTTTTTTTTAAATTCTCCTAAGTTTTTATACTAAGGATAGAACCAAGTATTTCAAATTCTCCCTAATAATGCTACATAATGTCAACAACAGGAACGAAAATGGCTTATTTATGAATAGTCACAGATATTAAAAGACTCAGGTGAAGCTACAGACTTCTGTGTGTTGGATGGAGATCAATGACATAAAAACATATTGGTTAGGCTTAAAATGGATACTTACACTCCTATAAAAATATATTTTTAGGGCCAGCCAAGTGGCTCAGTTGATTAAGAGCTTGCTCAAGAGTTTGAGCTCTGAGCAACAGCGGTTCGATTCCCGGCCAGAGCTGAGGATGGCTCAGCTAAATATATATATATACATATACATATACATATATGTATATGTATATATATATATATATATATATATAAATCTTTAACAAAACATAACATGTAATTCTGGAAGTACAGGTAAAAATTAAAAAAATATTCAACTGAGTAATCAAAGGTGCAAACTAAAAGAAGTTTCCATTTTTCTCCTATTAAAATATCAAAAATTTTAAAACCAAAGGATACCACAGTGATAAACATGTGATAAAACTTACTCTCATAAAGTGTCCGTGACAGTACAAATTGGTTCAACCAATTTCAAAAAATAATTTGGCAAACCATTTTTTTTTTATTGGGTTGTCGGAAAAGTCATGACACATTTTTGCAACGAAAAACATAGAAAAAATACGTCATGACTTTTCCGACAACCCAATAATTGGGAAACAGCTGTGGTGATTGGTTACACATTGCTTTCATGCTACAATGGCATAGTTGACTCTTTTAGGGAGGGCGCACCTCACAGTGGCCCATGCAGGGATCAAACCAGCAACCTTGATGTTATCAGCACCACGCTCTAGCCAACTGAGCTAACCTGTCACCCCTGGCAAACCATTTTTTAAGGAAGATAAAAATGTCCACAACTTTTGACCCAATAATTATTCTTCTAAAAATTTATCCTAAGAAAATAGTCCAAAATATAGAAAAAGTTAAACAGGCTAATAAAATTGTCTTTCACTGAGTACCCACTATGTATCAGATTCTTTGCATTAATGTAATTAACCCTCATAAAACACCTTGAGTTAAGTATTATTACCACCACGTTACAGATGAGGAAACTTCATCTCAAAGAAGATAAGTTATTTGCCCCAAGTTGAACAGTAAAGTGGTAGAGCAGGGATTTAAACCTAGGTCTCTCTCACTCCCAAATCCATGTTCTTCATTTCTGTTACATTGTCTCTCAATATACATGTTCGTTACAGTGTTATTTATAACTCCTAGCTGAACACAACCAAATGTCAAGTAACATCAACAACCTCTTAGAATATTATAGTCCATAAACTATGTAAGACTACATATCAAAATGGAAATATTAAATGATATAAAACTAATCTTGAGAAAAGGAAGCTCCAGTCCTCACAGAGCAGTGCTGACATGTGTATTTACAACAATGCACTGCGCGGGGAGAACTTCCTACTTCCTAGCACGGCCAAAAAAAAGAGTGGTCCACAGAAAAGGAAATTATAGCAACTGAACAGAAATGTTGGTATCAGACAAGAAGTGGGTTCAAATCCTGGGTCTAGCACTGCAACCTTAGTCAAAATTTTAAATCTGCTTTAGCCTTAGTTTCTTCAACAGTAAGACATCAATAATTAGCAACCTTTTTTTTCCCCTCAATTATAAGTAAAAGAACACTAGATTTGGAGTCAGAAGGCTTGGGTTCAAGTTCCACTTATGTTCCCTAATTATGATATCAGGGAACTACTATAACCTCTGTGAGCCTTACTTTCTTCATTAAAAGATGGGTGAAAATATTTGCTTTATCTTTCTTATACCTAGGAAGATATAAACCAAGAAAATGGTTTCTATAAAAATCCTTTCTAAGGTGTAAAGAGTTTATATAAGACAGTTTTACTGACAAAATAATCTTCTTAGAAAGCAAAATCCAAAGGGAGGAAAAAAATACAGTGGCATGCCCTTGGTTTCTAGGGGATTAAAAAAGAATGGGAGTGTTCATTAACTTTCAATTTGCTGGTTATAACGTTTTAGCAATCTAAAAAAACAGCATTATGTCATGAGGAAGAAGGTGATAATAGCCCTTACAAATAAAGTAGAAAGCCAGAAGCAACATTACTTGCCATATATAACTCCTTATTGATGCCAAGATACTTCCCATTTCCACATCCAATATCAGCCACTAACGAACCGCTTGGCAAAGCTTTCAAAAACTCCACGATGTGTGGCCAAGGGGTATGTCTCGTGCTGCTGAAGTGCCCGGCGATCTCTTCATAAACTCTATGGACATATTCTTGCTCCAGCTGCGAGGCTTCTTCATTACTCTCTGGAAATGATGGGGGAGGCTCCTTCGTCTGGCTGTCACAGACCAAAGGGTAACCTAATGAAAGGACACGACAATATAAACCTTTTCTTTTTATCCAAGTGATTCATAAGGTCTTGTATTTTTTAAAAGAAAAAGCAAATCAATCCAAATTTGGTGATTAGGAATGAGTAGGCTCTGGTTTCTCAGTTAAAAAAGTAGCTCTAAACTAGCACATCCAATTATATGTGTGATGGATCTAATATAAAAAGAAAGGGGAAAACATCCATTTGCGACAAAACACGACTGCAACTCTGCATGCCTTATAACGAAGATGCCTATTTCATCTTGGGATTAAAGGTCCTCTTATTCAGGAAAGCATCTTGATGGACCTGTCCTAACCAGAAGAAATTTAGCTAAGTTAAGATTTAGGGTTTTACTCATGGCAGGTAAAGGAGATAGGCATTCTGCAGGAGACACTAGAACTCGCAGAAGAACAAGACCTAGAAGTAAAATGTCATTTGACAATAATCACAAACATTTAATGAATGCTATTTGAAGCAGTTTATATGTGTTGTGTTAATTCTCCCAATAACTATGCAAGAGATACTATTATACCCATTGTACAGATGGAGAAGCTGAAACACAGAATGCTAAATCACAATCCCAAAGTGACAAAGATAGTAAGTCACAGAGCCAGGATTTGAACCCAGGCCGTGGAGACTCCAGAGCCCACATTCTCAATGATTACACTATGTTGCCTCCTTCAATAGAATGAGAATTCCTAAGGAGAAAACCACCAAGTAGAGGAGATGACAAAAGCAAAGTTGGGATACAATTAATTTTGTTGTTCCCTGTTCTCTGATGTAGTGTTTAATCCTCATTTGAAATCCTTGCCTGTTTTCTACTGTGCTATAATTTCCTTTGTCTTCACCTAAAGCTTGTGACACACAACATCTTTTTATGGGTAGTATTCTAGAGAATAAAAGAAGAAGAAGTGGGGCTGGCCGAGTGGCGCGTTGGTTAAGAGCTGGCTTGGGACGCCAGAGGGCCCCGGTTCGGATCCCACACATGAGGGCCAGTGACACTGCCCTCCACAGCTAAGATGCTGAACAACAGCTCGACCTGGAGCTGGGCTGCTGTGGGTCGCCGGTGACGGCATAGGCTGCAGTCCCCTGCTGCAGTGGGTTGCCATAAGTTACCATGTGTAGCCAGCAGCCAGCGTGAGCGGCCAGCAGCCGCCATGAGCAGCCGTCCAGAAGAGCTGGCGACTGATCTGCGTCGCCTGGGAAGAGCGCAATGATGGTGCCAACTTGGGCCAGTGAAGCAACGTCCTCCACAACGAGACTGAAGAACAAAAGGACAGCAACTTGTCTGTTCCCCTTCCCCGGATTCCCGAGCGCTGTTCCCATCCCCCAATTCCCCCATAAAGTCTTTAAAAAAAAAAGAAGAAGAAGTGGCATTTCCAGAGAAACTGCAGACAAGACAAAGATAATCATAAGAAATAGAATTGGGCTATAGGCATTGATGGCTTCAGAAATTTTCCCTAAATAAACCTAGAGTATGTCAAACCTTGCGAAAGCCTAGAATGGGGATGAGAATATCGAGTCCCTACTAATGCGTGAAATGAAGCTCTAAATATTTTAAGTGGGCATTTAAGGAAAGGGTAACCCCAGAAAGCTTGAGGACTCTAAAACATAATGTGGAAACAGATGGGTTACATTATGTTGGTTAAATAGGTATTACAATTACACTACACTAGTCTTAGTATATTGGGAATTATGAATATCTAAGTTATCTAAAGGGAGTAGCAAATTTATCACTTAAAAATCCATAATTTTGACCAAAAGATTCCAAAAGATTGCTCTGAACTTTAAAAACATCTATAAACTGAATATACAGTCAGAGCTTCTTATAGCATACCTTACGTTTAGTTAATGACAGTAAGAAAAATATTTGCGTAAGAAAACTAGCTTGTCTCTCCAACTAGACTTCAAGTTCTTTGAAAACAAGTGCCATACTTTAATTTTCTATGCCTTGTAAAGCTACTGGCAGTGTTAGAGCAAATACTTAATAAATACCTTTTCATTGATAAAAAAAATTTGATGTTTTAAGGCCTCAGTGACACCCTTAGCAAAAGAAACAAAACCTGTTTGAAGCTTCACAAGCATCAATATAACAAATATAAAAAATAAAAGTAAAATATATTTTTAAAAGACATCAAATGTAGATTTCAAGTTTTCTAACAGGATAACATTTTGTAAATACTCATATAATAAAGGTTTATAATTTAAAATGTTTTTAAGATTATGACTAACTCCAAAAGCTATTGCTAGATATCACCCATAACTGAAGCCCCCAGGATAGAAAAAGGATCTTATTATCACTGTCATTATAAAATAAATGAAAGGGGTTTTTGTTCACTGAGTCTAAGAAATATAGGTCATAATGTACTTGTGTAGACACAATTCAGAATAGCATCTGCTTGACAAGTTTTTGAGCATTTCTCTTATTCCCTTCTAGGTTTCCAAATTGATACAAACCACTGTTTACAGCCCTATAGTTATCTACTTACTTAGAACAATTTGTCATCTCCAACACCTTGTTTGGTTAATGAGAAGTAGTTTAGAAACTTGACAAGCTGTTTCCAACAAAACTTATTTTCTACAAATGATATTTTAATGTCCTATAATTGTAGCACTCTTAACTGTGCTACAATAAACAATGTATTTAGGGCTGGCCGAGTGGCGCATTGGTTAAGAGCTGGCTTGGCCCCAGTTCGGATCCCACATATAAGGGCCAGTGACACTGCCCTCTACAGCGAAGATGCCAAACAACAGCTCAACCAGGAGCTGGGCTGCCGTGAGTCGCCGGCGACGGCTAGGCTGCAGCCCCTGCTGCAATGGGTTGCCATGGGCTACCGTGTGTAGCCAGCAGCCAGCGTGAGCGGCCAGCAGCCGCAGTGAGTGGCTGTCCAGAAGCCGGCGACTGATCTGCCTTGCCCGGGAAGAGCGCAATGATGGTGCCAACTTGGGGCAGTGAAAGAACGTCCTCCACAACTAGACTGAAGAACAAAAGGACAGCAACTTGTCTGTTCCCCTTCCTGCAATTCCCCAGCGCTGTTCCCATCCCCCAATAAAAATCTTTAAAACAAAACAAAACAAAAAAACGTATTTATTTGGCATCCAACTATGCTCAAGTACTATGGTTAGGGGGGAAAAAGATGATTAAGACACAGCCCTTGGCTTCAAGGGATATAAACTCTAGTGGGGGTGGTTAAGGAAACTACACGTAAGTACAATACCGGGCTGAATGTGGGACATGCCACCAGAGAAGTTAAAACAAAGTTCTGCTTGGTTCTGATGGGACTTTAAGAGATTTTCATACTAGATTTATTCCATTTCACAATAGAACCAAAATTATATACTTACTGCAGTTACAGGGTGTTTGCCTCACTTTCCTAAATGTAAACGATGTCCGTATTCCTCTCTTGTTTAAAGTTAAGTCTCCAACATCACTTGTGATAATTCCACTTTTGTAACTCTTAGATGCTTGAACAGTATCAAATTTCCTGGGTGTGATTCTAAAAACAACAGTCAAAATAATTTATTTAACACTGTATTCGTAAAAATATTTCAGGTCCTTTAAAGACATTAAGAGTAAATCTAGAAGAATTTATTGAAAATATCTATTTGATTCCCTTAATTGTTAAGGACTGATGAAAAAACAAAGAAATTGAAGTCTCTTATCTTTTAAGAAGTTGTTTTCAAGGTTATCCTATTAAAAGAATGCATAGCTAACAAATTATTCAAGGGGAAAAATGGAATAATAACAAATATTAAATAATGCCAATTCCAAGGAGGAGGAAAGAAAACCAAGAAACAGATGGGGCAAAGAGGAAACAAATACATGGTAAATTTAAATCTAGTATCCGTAATTATGTTAAATGTCAATCTTTCCACACCTCAAAGCAAGCACTGTTGATTTCTTTCAGTATAGCCTGTTCTTCGATTTCATAAACAGTTAGCACTATTTTCTGTCTGGTTTTGTCCATTCAACAAAATAATTTTTCGTCAGTAAGTAATGTTTCACTGTATGAACATAACCAGAATTTATGTATCCAAAATCTCTTGTTGATAGATATTTTGGTGTTCCCAATTTGGGTCTTTATAAATAAAGCTTCTGTGAACATTCTTTTGTGTTTGTATATATAGAGGGTGTCAAAAAACTGTATATACATTTTAAGAAAGGAAAATTGTATTAAAATTGTAATACTCAATATATACTGATAACAAAAGATGAATACAAATCACGTTTGACTTCTGCAATTACAAGAGGTGCTCGAAGTGGTTACCATCAGCATCCAGATACTTCTGATTATGGCAAACTGCTGCTTGAGCAACATTGACCAAAGTGTCCACTTGTATACATTTTTTTGGCACCCCCGTTGCAATATACAGAAGGTGCCAAAAAATGTATACACATTTTAAGAAAGGAAAAAACTATTAAAATTACACAAATGGTAACCACTTTGAGTTACATACATATAAATATAACTCTTGGGGAAATACCTAGGATGAAACTGGTGGGTCACAGAGTAAGACACTACCAGGTTTCAAGGTGGTCACACATGATTTTATACTCTCACTGAAAACATGTAAGAGTTTCAGGCTGCTTGACATTCCCAATACTTGATCTTGTCTGACTTTTTAATTTTAGCCATTTTAAAGCTGTGGCAAATGATATGAAATTGTGGTTTTAATTTGCATTTCTCTGTTGACTAATAATATATATCTTTCCATGAGCTTATTAGCCATTCATAGATCCTTTTTGGGGGGAAAGATCTGTTCAATTCTTTGTTAGATATTTGTGCTGTGGATATTCTCTCCTCATGTGTAGCATGTCTTTTCATTTTCTTAATGGTATGTTTTGATGAGTAGAAGTTTTTAATTCTGATGTAGTCCTTTTGTCTTTTTTCTTTTACAGTGTGTCTGAAATCTTTCTTAAAAAAAAACTTTGCCTAGCCCAAGTTGCAAAAATATCCTCTGTGCTTTCTTCTAGACATCTTATAGTTTTGCTTTTATACTTAAATTTACGGTCTATCTCATATTAATTTTTGCAAATTGTGTGAGGTACATCAAGGTTCATTTTATTTCCACATGAATATCCAGCATCACCTGTTGAAAATTTTCCTTTATACCTATTAGAATGGCTATTATCAAAAAGATAAGAAACAAGTGTTGACGAGGATGTAGAGGAAAGGGAACCCTTGTGCACTGTTGGAGGAAATCTAAATTGGTGCAGCCACTGTGGAAAATAGTATGGAGGTTCCTCAAAAAATTAAAAATAGAACTACCATATGATTTATCAGTTCTATCTCTGAATATCTATCCAAAGGAAATGAAAACACTAACTTGAAAAGATACATGCACCCCCAAGTTTGTTGCTGCATTATTTACAATAGCCAAGATATGGAGAAAAACCTAAGGGTCCATTGATGGATAAATGAATAAAGAGTATGTCTCTCTGTCTCTCTGTCTCCCTGTGTGTCTGTCTGTCTCTCTCTCTCTCTCTTGCGCGCGCGCACACACACACACACACACACACACACACACACACACACACACACACTGGACACAATGGAATATTATTCAGCCATAAAAAAGGAAATCCTGCCATTTGTAACAATATGGGTGTACCTTGAGGGCATTGTGCTAAGTGAAGTAAGTCAGACAGAGAAAGACAAATGCCATATGATCTCATTTTTATGTGGAAGTAAAACAAAAACAAAACAAAGTTATAGATACAGAGAACAGGCTTATACCTGTGGGGTAGGCAGGGGAATTGTGGCAGGAAAAGTGTGTGAAATTGGTGAAAGTGGTCAAAAGGTACAAGTTCTAGTTATAAAATAAGTAAGTCCTAGAGATGTAATGTACAATATGGAAACTATAGTTAAATAATAGTGCATTGTATATTTGAATGTTGCCAGACAGTGACTCTTAAAAGTCCTCATCATAAGAAAAAAATATTTGTAACTATGTAGTGATGGGTGTTAACTAGGCTTATTGTGATGATCATTTGATAATATATATACATATGGAGAATCATTACATGGTGCATCTGAAACTAATTCAATGTTATATATGTGTGAATTAAATCTCAATTTAAAAAAAGAATCAGAATTCCCAGGCTGGATGATAGCTTTTAAACCACAGCATAGTTAATCAATGAATTAATTCAGAGTACTAAAAGGATGTAGTATTTTACAAGTTTTGATGCTATTTTAAAAAGCATTTTATTTCATTTTCCAAAAATTAATTTTTGAATATTGACCTTATATGCTACAACCTTGCTATATTCACTTATTAGTTTAGCACTTGTTTTATAGATTTCCTAGGATTTTCTATATTCACAATCATAAAAAGTTTTACTTCTTCCTTTCAAATCTGTATGATTTTTATTTATTTTTCTTGACTTATACTGGCTAAGGCATCCAATGTAGTATTAAATAGAAGTGGTCAGTGCAGACATCACTGCCCACTTCAATATCTTAGGAAAAAGCATTCGATATTACACCATAAAGTATGATGTTAGCTGTGGGTTTTTCATACGTGCCCTTTATCAGATTGAAGAAGTTTCCGTCTTGTTCTAGACTGCCAAGTTTCTATCATAAATGGATGCTGAGTTCTGTCAAAAACACTCTGCATCAATCAAGATGATTATATATTTTTTCTCCTTTGTTCTTTTAATGTGGTGAATTACATATTTGGTTTGCAAATGTTAAGCTAATCTTGCAAATTTGGGGTAAACTCCACTCAGTCTTGATATATTTTCTTGTCTATATATTGTTTGGATTTTCTAATATTTTGTTATGGACGTTTATCATCTCTGAGAGATATTGATCTGTCATTTTCTTTTCTTATAACGTCCTTGACATGTTTTGGTGTCAGGCTAATGCAGACCTCATAAAACATGTTGTGAGAATGGCTCTTTTAAAAGATCTTGCCCTAAAGGCAATTTTTTAGAAGTAAAAGCAAACAATCATTGCCTGAATTTATATGATTGTTAGTTTGATAGCTAAAAATGATTAAAACTATGGTGTTGAACGAAATCAGTTACATATTTTAGAACAAGAAATATAATATCTTGAAACTCCTATTATTAAACAAATTTCTCTCTTGGGGATTAAGTAGTTCTCTTTTATGACTCTCAGAAGTCAATTATTTCACTTGCCTAGAATTAAGTCTTAGGCAAAAGTCAAGCTGTACTTAACTGCTGTTGGCACCAATCTCAGATTTTTAGGAACAGGTAATTCATATGTTAAGAATAATGAATTCTTTAAACATCTCCGAACATCTTTTCCCCCCTGTACCCAAATTATAATCTAGTTGGGAAAATATTAAATAAAAAGATAAAAACATTTTTATAGGCTAAGCAATAGTTTGATACAATAGAAAAGGCATTGCAAGGTACTAAAAGACAATACAGTCTTTTAGGAGTTAAGATACAGGAGAAATTATTTCAGGCTAATGTAGTCAGAAAAGCTTTATAAATTATAAAGGAAGTAAAAGTTGAGCTATATAGTATCTTTAAAAAAAGTAAGTGGAAAGGAAAAGGAAATTTACTACATTAAGAGTTGACAAGAGTGTGAAGGGTAGAATGCACAGTAAAAATTCACAGAAAGGGGAACAAACAAGTTTAGGTGTAACATTATGGTTAACAGCACAGATCCTGAAGCCAGACTTCTGATCTTGATTCTGCCACTTAATGGTTTTGTGACTTTGTACAGGTTATGTAACCTCTTTATGCTCCAGTGCTCCAATTCTCTTTAAAAATGGGGACAAAACCATAGAAGAAACTTTCCAGTCTGACAGTGTGAGTTAAATGAGTTAATATGTATAAAGCTTTTAGAATAATGTCTGCCACAAAGAAAATGCTCCAAAAATAATTAAAACTAATTCACACAAACTCATGAAAGAATGCCTTCCCAAGTCCAAACAACCTAAAGCAGAGGGATTTGTTTAGAAATATATTGTTTGCCATTAAACATAAAGGAATAGTCTTCATTTAAAAAAAAAAAGTGTTCTCTTCCATTTTTCTTAAAACACACATCCCTGCTCTTTCTAGCTTTCCATTCCCTACTTTTAATACAGACATGAGTTCAAGAAACATTTACTTTTCATTTAACTCTACTGTGAGATAAAAACAATGGTGCATGCACAATGATAAATGACAAGTGATACTCAGCCGTAGTTCCTGGACTCACAGAAAGTGGTACGAATTGCAGAGAACAGGAAAATATAGGCCTCATCAAAAGGACATTGATAATCTCCGCCTTGATACTGCTCCCCAATGATACTGTGGCCCAGTTTGGTCAGGTAATCTCAATTTTCAAAAGAAGATGAAAATTCAGATTTTTATGTGAAAGCTCCTGATTTGTATATGCAGGTCATTTTTTAAAAGGCTACCATGTGGACCACCACTGCCCCAGCCAATGAGCCTGACCGCTGACTCTAGCCCACATGCTTCCAGCTTCCCACCTTAGGGCATGGTGGCTAGAAAAGTAAACTTTTACTAGGTCAAATTAAGTGTCTGGAGTTAATATTATAGGGCTGTGTTAACCAACCTTCTTCAATTCATATCCCTCAATAGTGCTTCTTAGTGCTTTTTTTAGTATTGAGATCAAAATATTTTTTATTGAGGTTTGTTTCCTATAGTTTACATATATTTCTAAGTATATTCATGTGCTTTTTTCAATCTAGTCTCCCTTCCACCCAGAGATTCTGGCGAGCACCTCCATAGCTGGTATATCATTTGTTTGGTCGGTGTCTCTCTGTTCCTGTTTCTATCTTCTGTGCTCCCTCCCTCTCTACAGTCCCCCTCCTGGCTCTCTTCCTAACACACACACACACACACACACACACACACACACACACACACACACACACACACCTCCCTCTCTCTCTGGCTTTCACATTACAGGCAATGTGTTCCAATAGACGCCTTTAAAAATAATACTGAGGTTTGTTTTCTTTTCCCCTGAAATTATTGTAGAGAATTTTGATTCTACAGAAAGTTTTAAAAATAAATATTATCTGCAATTCAATCTTATCAGCACAATATGCTTTGAACAAGAGAATGTGATCAAACCGATGTTTAGAACTAATCTGTACCATTACCCAGAACAAACTAAAATATTTTCATAACATGGGCCTATGAAAAGTAATTTTTTTATTTTATATTTGCTGTAATACCATTCATTTCTCTTAAGTTTAAATGTTACCAATAATAAAAATGCTGGAACGTAAAAAAACCAAAATGTGAATATTCTCAAAATTCTAGGAACAACTAAAACATCTGGGTCACATCATCATTTTCATTTCCTATAAGTGAAAATATTTTAAATGGCCATGAAAAAAACTCAGGCAAATTTAAGCTTCGGGGCACAAAATCAGGCCATCTGTTCTTAGGGCTCACATTTAGGACAGGTTACAAATTCACTTATATGTTCCTTTCCTTGAAACCTTATAAAAATACACCAGCTAAAATCTCTAAGCAGGGCAGTATTGATCATTTTCTGTACAACAGATGTAAATTTTGGCAGTGTGATGCTTCCTTCTCAAAAGGCTAAAGATGTCTTTCTGCCAAAAGTGCATAACACATTTCTTTCAGATTCAATTCAATCCAACAAACTCAAATTGAGGGACATTCTAAAAAATAATTGGCCTCCTTAAAAGTGTCAATGTCATGAAAAGACAAAGAAAAGTTGAGGAATTGTTTCAAATTAAAGAAGACTAACGAGAACTGACAAGTAAAGGTGATGCGGGATCATGGACAGAAATCCTAGATGAGAGAGAAAACTAACCATGAAGTACTGACAAAGACTCTGCTGGGCCGAAGTTTAGTCAGACTCCTCTGAGCCCGACTCGGACTCATACTTGGGGATGTCCTCCAGGAGCCCAATTTTAACAAGAATCCTATTAAGTCAGTTTAGCCAGAAACCCCCACCCTTCATATCTTATCCTCCTTGACAACTGATAAAATTCCTCATTCCCCACTATCCCCCACTAGCTCATCACCCTAGCCTGCCTTCAGCAAGAATCCTGTGGTTGATTTAGCCAGAATCCCTGTTTACCAAAGAGGTTTCCTCTTAGTAATTTGCCATCCACCCAAGCCCCATCCCCAAGCCCAGGCTCCGTGGCTGTAAATGCCCACTTTTCCTTAGTGTATTTGAAATTGGGTCCAGTTCTGTTCTGAGGTCTCTTTTCCTTATTGCAATAGTTCCTGAGTAAAATCTGGTTTTGCTGCTTTAACTACTGGCAGGCTCCAGTTTTCCTGTGATAGCACTATAAAGAACCACTAGTAAAAATTAAAGATTGATTGTACAGGAGTATGATATGAGTATTTCGTCATGGAATTTCCTGAATTTGAAGATAGCACTGCAGTTTTATAGAACAGAGGCTGGCAAACTTTTCCTGTAACAGGACCAGGTAGCAAATATTTTAGGCATAGAGGGTCACATACAGTCTCTGTTGCATATTCTTTGTTGTTGTTGTTTTTGTTCTTTACAACCCTCTAAAAATGTAAAAACCCCTTTTTAGTTCAAGAGCTGTGTAACCACAGACTAAGGGCTGAATTTGACTCATAAGCCATAGTTTGCCAGCTTCCGATAGAATGTGTCCTTGCTCTTAGGAAATACGCAATGTAGCATGTAAGAGTAAAGGGTCATGATGTCTGCTACTTACCCTGATATGATTCGGCAAAAATAATAACATGTGAGAGACAAATAAAACACATGGCAAAGTGTTCACAATTAGTAAATCTAGGTGAAAGGTGAAGGCAGTTCACTGTTCTATGCTTCCAACTTTTCTTTAAATTTCAATTATTTTCAAAATAAAAGGTTTTTTTTTTTTTAAAGTGATAAAAGTCTGGGGTTTAAACCCAGAAGCCTCAATGTGCAGGCATGAGGCATGGTTCTAGTGGCGCATGCAGGAAAGAATGAGAACGCACACAAAGCCAAAGCTCTCCTGTCATCAAGGTCATGTCAATACATACCCATGGGTCCAAAGGTATCTGGATTCTCCTGTCATCACCAGCAAGCTCCGACGAGGCAACATCACTGGCACTGTGACACCATCTGGGTGCTTGAAATCCATGACAATCTTGAAGTAAAGACAAGCATAAAGATTAATCCAAGATGTCATGCACTCCATGGATAAGAATGATTAATTAATTTCTCACTATCTTGCTAGGCTAATAGAGATTAAAACATTATAATGTTTATAGAATAGCACAGCACAGTGGTTCTCAAACTTTGGTGCACATAAAAATCAACCGAATGACTAAAAGACCCACTTTATCCAGAGAGATTCAGGAGGTCCCGGGTGAGGCTCAGAAATCTGCTTCTCTAACAATCACCCCAGGAAATTATGATGCAGGTGGTCTGAGGATCATATATACTACACAAAACACTATGGTAGTAACTGAATGCAAAGACTTTGGAGCTGAAACATTCATATCCTAGCTCTTCCATTTACTAGCAATGTGGCCTAGGACAAGCCATTTAATAATCCCTCTGTGTTGCAGTTTCCTCAACGCTTACAGAGTTTTATGTGAATTCAATATATAATAATATAAATCACAGTATCTGGTACACAGTCAATACAAAAAATAGTAGCTATTAATAGAATATTAATAATTAATAACCCAAAGGAAAATAATTATTAGATGTAGATTCTCATAGAATCCATTTTGCCTTTAAAGTCATGCAATATTTTGGATACCAGAGGCTAATTTACAAGAGATAATCAAAGAACACATGAATATTTTCAGTCATTCTTCACAAGTTGTGCTCAAATATTATGAATAGGAACCTATAAAGATACAATACCCAAGAAAATGTTTTTGTCCTCAGGAACCCAAACATCAAAAGAATTCAGTCTAAACATAGCAGCAGCTGACAAATGTGAATTTAAAAGTCATGCCACAGAGCTTAAAAACATTTTTTTAAGTGAACAAATCAATTCATTTGAAAAAGATATATGACAACCAAGTATCAGAGGATGAACAGAATTTAGCATAGTACCTTCTTCATTAAAGGTAAACTTAGCATAGTACCTGGCACAAAGTAAGCATTTAATAACTGTTATCTACTTTTATTAATAATAATAATATTATATCAAATTAGATAATGCACATGACTATTACATGTAATGTGAGAGTATAATTTTCTAAATTTTGAAAATTTTTATTTATGAAATTAAATGCACATTTTCTATGAAACTTAAATTTCTTAAAACATTCCATTACAAAAATAATTACCAGTATCATATTTTAAAAATCTGTATCTTAATTAAATAATGCTTGCTAAAAGGTTAAAAAAAAGATTTAAAAAAATATTTCACTAAGAATTCACAATCAGTAATGCTTCATTGCAACTGCTGAATCACTCTGCTGTGTGAATTTTGCTCCACAGGAGCCTTTTCCAATTATTCTGTTTGGTTTTACCTATTTTCTTTATTTTCTGAGATGGCAGAGTTAATAAAAATCAAGTTCCCAGAAAGCTCATGGGGCATGCCTGAGGATAATGTTCACAAAGCAAAGAAACATAAAACCCTAGACATTCTGATCTTATAAAACCTTTACATATCCAAAATACCATCGAATAAAAACCCCTGACACAGCTATCACTCTATTACTCAAGTAAAGATAAGATTCATAACAGAAAAGTATATGAAGGAATAAAGAGATCTCCACATTGGCTAAATAAGAAACTGAAGGATATATTGCCACTAGGAACACTTCTGAGAAAGAAGACAAACTTAATCCTGATCCTTAGTGGTTAGAAATAGGCTGAGATCATTAACCTTTTGAAATCCTGAATATAGGCAAGAGGCAGTATAACGTGAAAAATGATATGTGATTCATAGAGAATGATGAACACTGAGAGGACAGAAGTGATTGTAACTGCAGAAAGTATTTTATAGCTGAGAATTTAGGAGAATAGAAGTCCACCTGTTTCCCATAGCGTACCAAATATAAATCTTCTGTAGTTGCACTACAGTTTTCACTGGACCCAAATAAGATAAGAATTTTTTACTTTAAACAGCAAACAAGTGATTCCACGTACCTCATCATGGCCACGTCGACCATGCTTGAACAAGTGGAAAAAAAGAGGAAGAAAAAGGGAGACTGAATCACAACTGCAAGGATACAAGATTGAAACAATTTACAAAGAAATAGAGCAATGTCAAAAATGTGTTTACGTAGTTTCCCTGGATTTATAAATATAGAATCCCACCATATGATGAGATAATAGTCCACTATAGGAGAGAAGAAGAACTTTGAACATTTTTAATAAAACAAATACTATAGCTTTCTGTCTCCCTACAAAAGATGATACTCCCAGAATCACAAGTATACTTGGCTAAAGCTGAAAAGTAGCTGAAAGAAAAGCTTGCGGTATGTCATATTTTTCCAGGGCAGAAGAATTAATACAAATTTTGTCTAGGACACCTTGGAGACCAATGGCTAATGTCCATGACCTTTAAATCTCCTACCTATGCTGTATAAGCCTAGTTCCCATCCTTTAGGAAAAGTTAAAATAAAAAACCGCAACAAACCCATTTCCCTTCCCTGACTCCTACTAACAAAGCATGTTAAAAACAAACCAAAAAAAAAACTGGAGTGAATCCATTTGCTAAATTTCTTGAAAACTGGAATCTTGTGAAACTCAAAGGAAGGGTATGGAAGCAACATGCCTTGGAATCAACATATAGAACACAAGACCTCCCATTTGAAAATGACTAAACAAGCTCTGCCTTCTTGTCCTGCAGAGAAGCAATTTTCTAAAATATAGGTCTCAATATTCTTGTCATGAGGGAAAAAAACCTCACACATTAAAACATGAAGAGGAGTGGTAGCTTAGGACACAGAGGAGTGGCCCAGCAAGTAGTTTATACAGGAGCTAAAGGCACTGTAGCCAAAAGAAACTTCTTTCTCATTGCTTCCAAGAGAGGATGCGACAAGCAGAGAACCATTTGATATTTCTGGCATGAAAACTTTCCTACTTGATCATGTACCATGTACACATTTAGGGTACATAACTAGAACTTGTCTACAGTATTGCATACATGAAACAAGCAAAATTAGAACAGATTAAAATTTTAAAAGAAAACACCAAAACACAAATGTACTCTATAGCACATGTCAGCAAATTCTACTTTTCAAATACTTCTGCCTTACAAAACTAGGTCCCAGCTGCTGAATGCACAGATTTTGCCATCTCTTCCTCTTCACCCCCAAATACAGATGATTTTGAACTGTTTTATCTGGCTGAGCTCAAGTGAAATGTAAAATAAAAAGAGAAGCATCTTTTAGTTTAATAGTCTAAAAGTCTAAACACACTGCCAAATGACAGAATAGAGAGCAAAATAAACACTGCATAACAGAAAAATTAAGCTTGAGAAAGCAAAGAAGCTAAATTGGAAACACTTTAGCCACCACTGAATATTCAATATGTATTATAAATGCTAAGTTTAAATGCCTATGAGATAATATAGTCATGCTTATGTGTTTGCACTGAGACAACTTACTATCAGCTCTCATTTATCACAGTGTAGCTTCATTTGCTTGCAGGAACTGTGAAGTGAAATTCACCACCATCCAAAAATGTACTCTCAAAAAAGAGTCATCACAAACCACTTCAGTAAAATTAAGTTTTACTTTGTATGTGATAAGGCTACAGAGGTCATCAGACATTTTAGCTTAAAAAAAGTTCTTTTTATTTCATTCTTATTTACTTGATAGATTCTGTCTAGTAGATTATACTCGACACATATTTTTTAATTAATAAGTGAATGCATTCATCATAAACAATTTACTTGAAAAAAATAGGGTGGCATAGCTCACATTTTTGGACAGAAGGCTTCCTTAATTCCATTTATTCATTTTCTGGGCTTTCCTTCTTAAGTAAAATAAATCAAGAGATTCATATGCAGAGATAACCAAAACAAGACAGCCAAAATACCAAGAACAATGGTAGTCATGAGTATATCTATTCTTGAGGCCCTGGATTGAGCCTCGTAAAAAAAAAAAACAATGTACTCACTATATTTTACCTACCACAGAAATAGCATAGAATAGATAGATGGCTGCTACATAATGAGATGTTACCTCACACTTGTTAGAATGGTATCAAAAAGGCAAGAATAACAAGTGTTGGGAGGATGAGGTGAAAAGGGGCTCTAGTGCACTGTTGATAGGAATGTAAATTGGTGCAGCCACTATGGAAAACAGTATGAAGGATACTCAAAATCTTTTAAAACAGAAATACTATATGATTCAGCAATTCTACTTCTGGGCATTTATCTGAAGAAAACAAAAACACTTACCTGAAAAGATATACACATCTGCATGTGCAGTGCAGCATTAGGTACAATACATAAAAGCAACCTAAGTGTCCATTGATGGATGAACAAAGAAAATTTTTCTTTATATGTTATATTATTCAGCCATAAAAAGGAGGAATCCTGCCATTTGCAACAAAATGGATTGACCTTAAGGGCTTATGCTAAGTAAAATAAGTCAGACAGAGAAAGACAAGTACTATATAATCTCACTTATGTGTGGAATCTTTAAAAAAAAAAAATGAACTTACAGATAAAGAGAACAGATTGGTGATTGCCAGAGGTGGGAGATGGGGGCTGAGCAAAATAGGTGAAGGTAGTCAAAAGGTACAAACTTCCAGTTATAAAATAAGTAAGTCCTGGGAATGTAAGGTATAGCATAGTGACTATAGTTAATAATACTGTATTGTATATTTGGAAATTGCTAAAAGAGATCTAAAAAGTTCTCAGCAGAAGGGGAAAAAAAACATAACTGTGTGGTGATGGTTGTAAACCACTTATTGTGGTGATTACTTCACAATACATAATCAAATCATTATGTTGTTGCATACATGAAACTAATATACTTGTAATGTTATATGTCAATTATACCTCAATTTAAAAAAATAACTATAAGATATGCACAAAAAAAAAAAGTAGTTGCTGGTGGTGATGAGCATGGTAATGTTAGTGTTGGTAGTAGGAGTAGAAGCAACAGTAGCTGCTATTATTATTATTAAATGATTATCAACTCCCTATGACAAATGAAAATTTAA